GGTGAAATTTTCAATATCGGCTTAATATTATTGGTGCAACGTAAAATTTAAATACATAGGTTTAAATGCACTTGTTTTCACACGGGCTGTGACTGATTCAGTTTGGGGGGCAATACTCCCCGACCACTCTTCTGAAAGAAACGCTGTATCTAGCCCCTGATGGTCTTCTATAAATTAAATTTGGCCCTCGAGATGTATCAGGTTGGCCAACGCTGGTTTAGGCAATGATACTATATAGCAACTACATGGATAGATGGACATGATCTCCACATAAGGCATTCCTTTTTACTTTATAAAGAATGCCTAAGAATCTCAGAGTTCCGCACTGTTGTGATGCTTGCGTTTTTCAAAGGTGCCATTAAGAATCATAGGTATGTTTATGACCCCATCTCTACACACAAAATTCTATGTGCCTCCAGTTTTGTTCATGTAAATTATGACCACGCCAGTCACGGTAGCTAAGCGGTCTAAGGCATGCACTGTCTTTGCTCGCTCGGAAGCCGGGATCGTGGGTTCGAATCCCACTCGGGACATGGATGTTTGTGTGCGTTTTTCTGTGTTTGTCTACAGGTAGAGGCCTTGCAACGAGCTGATCACTCACCCAAGGAGTCCTACCGTATGTGTAAGATCGAGAAAAACCAAAGTGAACGGAGTTCACGGAGGTAGGCCTAGGTCCACTGGGGCTGTAGTGCCAAGGAAAAGAAAAGATTATGACCACAAAACAAAGAGACAGACATTGAACATGACTGCCACATTACTGTTTCATACTCTAACCACTCCAATCAAAAGAAATAAAAAAAACATCTTAATTCATGCTGCATATTTTGTAAAGATGTATGCCAGACAGAATTCCACAGCAGACTCAACACACACCCCCATCAGGTTTCAATATTAACAATAAATTAAAAAGTACAGATGGGCAGTGGTATATGTTCATATATATTTTGTTGATAATACATGAACTGGTTGAAAAGATTTAAATATTAGGGGTCAAAGAGCCAGTGTATGATGCCACAAATCAATTTTCTTCATGAACCATGAATCACAGGCTACAAAGACCAAAGATAACTGAGAAATTTGTTACAGTGAATACGTTAACATGACATGACATAATGTCTTCGTATCAGATTTCCACCAATCCATAATTTATGCTTATCTGAACACCTTCTATTGTATCTGTGTGACATACAGAATAACAGAGAAATATAGTTAACATGAAGATTATACTTTTCTGGAATATGATGTCATGTAATTTGGTACTTATCTGCCACACTTTATGGGATTACATCCTAGAATACTGTAATCTTAATATTTACTATAGTGAAAACCTTGAATTTCATAACTACAGTGAAAGTTCATCTTGAAGTAGTAAACTGTAAATTTTGAATTATACCTCATAAGTCTGGATAAATATTCCCGAGGAACAGCAAGCCTCTTCTTATGTTCCAGTTCTTTATAAAATGAGTAGGATGTCAGAAGGCCACTGATCATGATGAATGGATCTGTGTGTATGCATGCACCTCTTGCAAAGGAAGTCCATGAACGTCCCAGATCCTGCAATAAGATCAGTATCCTAAGAATATTTTCTTTATTTGTGTCTATTTAACAATGCTATCAGTACTTGAGACTCCACTGCATTAAATGTCAGGATGGTAGTGAACAATCTCTGCCTATTTTAAAGTTCTATACTGATATTTGTCTGAAAGAACTGAGAAAACTACAAAAGCCCCAGGATAGTCAGTGTCCCAGCCAATATTCTAGCTGACCATCTAGCAAAACAATTCTATGAAGAAATGATGCAATGAAACTGCTTCTCATGCTGTCATCCACAAATGAGATCTGGCCAACTTGCCACCAGATTGAACAGAAGAGTCTGCTGGATTCACCTACAGAAGAATCAATTCATCATGGGTTTTACTATCGAGAAGTTTAAGAAAATAACAGTTGTAGGGAGATGTAAGGGAGTTGTATCATGTTAAAAATTGGCAGTAAGTGTTTCCAGTCTATTGATTTTAATTTTATAATGTTGTATTTTAGCGTCCTGTTGCACTGATTCTCGTCCATGATATGTATATTGGCCGTCTTGTAGTGCACTCAATTTCACATGTCACTTCACTACATGTTTCGGCATCACTGTGCCATCTTCAGGTGTGTTATTTACGTCAAGCTATTACATTGCTCACCATCATGTGTCGTTTATAAAATTATCTAAAATGCACACTCTTCACTAACTATAATAAAATTTGTTAATATCCATCATCTTACAAGTCATAACTCAAAATCGCATACTACGTCATTCTTCCACTATGGGAGCCGTTCATCTTATATTTTGTGTGTATTGTGTCTTGTGATGTGTCCTTTTTTTTGGTTGGGAGCACTGTAATATTAAAATGTTAGATTTTTTTTTTGTTTCTCTATCTTCCCTTAAAATACATGGCATATTTTAAAGCTGTAATTCTGACTGCATTATACAAACAAGTCTACATGTACTCTGTAAAGTTCTTCTGTGAGAGTGGGCTCAGGCATAAGAGCCTGATGTTTCTCCAGTGAAATCAGGCCAAATCATACCAGGCAAGTTTCTTTCATTTTCATGAAAACTGAATGCATTTACTCTTGTGATACTTCTGGACATCACTCTGATAAATAAATATTCTTGAGAGTTTCATCCAGTTTTATCATATACTTTCAATACCTGAGAGAATATGAAAACCTAATTCTGAAAGAAAAGTGGTTACCTCTGCCATAACAGTCCTGTTCATGTAAGGATTGAAGAAAAGAGCCATTGATTTGTGGGCCAGCAGCAGCAAGAGAGCGCTGACTGCTCTAACTCCATGAACACTTTCGATGTCGTCTGGTGATCTTGAGAGGCTGAACAGTGTCAGCACATTCTTGCGCAGAGAGAATGCCTGCATCAGCTTCCTCCCAGTGCCTTAGGGATCAGTAATTAAAGAAAAGTAGTAATTGCATGTTTATATATACAGCGTCTTTCTGAAAAAGACATTCTAGTTTTCATTGCATACAATTACCTATCCAGGCAGCAGACATCAGTGTATTTCGTGTCTCTGAGTTCAGTTGTCTAAGGAGACTGTGTTGCCCTTGGTAGCTATGCCATCAAGTAGGAATGCTCAAGATGGTATACTCAATAGAACTGCTTGTGGTTACAGTAAAATGATTTTAACAGACTGTTGGTGTTATCTGGATTCAATGTGAATCCGACTGAAACTGGAGTGAACAAAAGCACCGAGCAGGTCTGCAATGAACAAATTAGTTAACAAGTATAAAAGGACTGGGAGTGTGACTGATAATAACAGGCGTGTAAATTGCACAATCTCCTGGGATATAATGACTTGTAGTTTGCTGAACATCAACCAACATTTCAGAGTGACTATCACCTCCATCTTCAGGGTTGAATGAGCTGAGCAAGATAACGGTGTGAATGCAGATGGCAAGTAGGTAAGTCATCCGAAATGTCAGTTGACTTTCAACAGACTACATGGTGTTATAACCAAGAAGATAGTACTCTTCATAGCCACTGCTGTGAGAACATCAAATCCTACAAGAAGGGTGTAGTTAAAAAAAATAAATAAGAAGCCTGTTAGAACACCAGAAAATATTCATCATGCTGGTGCAAAGTAAAGCGTTTTTCTCAACTAACTTAACTCAGACACAATAAAACACAGTGATGTTTGCTGTGTAGTTACATAATTATATGCAATTAAAACTGGGGCACCTTCTTAAGAAGGCAAATGATGTAAATTAATATTACAACCAAATAGTAGCAACAGAGACTGTATTAAAGTCTTATAAATTAATGGCTGTACAAGCACTGGTATATTGTTCACAGTGATGATGAAGGAAAAATTGTGGCTGCTGAGAAAGGGTTCCTAAGGGCTATTGAAGGCATCAGGATAAGAGAAATATCACAGACTGTCTCAAAGATTTATAAAGTAATAGCTGTATCCATATTGCTTTCAGGATTATAATTTGGGACCCTCTAAAAATGGGTGCTCCAGATCAGTGGATATGTCCAGGCAATAATGAATGCATATTAAAGAGGAATTATTATAAAGCAGACTCATGAATGTTCCTGCATGTACCACTGTTTGGAACGATTAAGTCCTAAGGTAGTGGAAATAGCTGACTCAGATTCAATTGTTCTGATACTAAGTAGATGGCATTAAACTGATTTAAACCCATTTTATATCCTGATTTGGATTAAAGAGATATTTTAGGATTATATAAGACACTTCATAAAACACACTTACTTAATGTTTGTTCGAGAGACCTCCAATTTGGATCACATGCTGTTGCAACTACTGCAAGAGCTGCTATCATGAAAAATACTGCACTGAAAGATAAATTGGTTCAATTTGGATTAAAATACAACCAGTACGATGGGTATATGCATGGTGGGGGGAGTTGCACACCTGCCCATTGATTGATTTTTGGAAAAAAGCATAATTGACAAAAAGAAGAAATATAACAAATATTAACACCAAAATTTAAAATTACTTTTTAAAAAATGATTCTGGTATCTTGAGTCCTCTAGGCCAGTCAGTAAAAGTATAGTCTCAAGTGAGTTGAATGTAAATTTGTAAGAATATTGCATTTTCTGGCTCCCTTTCCTCATCCCCACAACTTGGAAATGTGGCTGCCCATGTTGGGAAGAATCCTGGTGGCATACAACATCAGTAAAAAATAAAGTAAACAAACATATAAAACTGGAGAAACTGATTACTGATGACAACATATTGCCAATGGCCTTGTCTGTAGTTTATTATGCTTACTTTTCCTCTATTATACACTTCATTTATGATTTATGAGTATGGTGTACATGAAAAAGTTTGTTTATGAACTGATATGTAATTTACAATATTTTATGGTTATGTGGCTGCATACTGGAATCATGTGAAAACTATTGGTAAGAGTCCCACACCTACTTTTTGTGTTCTAATGCCATGTAGCTCAGAGACAGCTCGATGTTTTGGAGGAACATAATGCCTCCATCTTCAGGGCTGAAGAGTAAGCAAAGCAAGAAACCAACAGAAGCAGGCAGCAAGCACGAAAATGTTCAGCTGTCTCTGAACTACATAGCCTTTCAACCCAGAAGAATATATTTTTCAAGAGAGTAAAATAGTTAAGTTAATTAATGATGCCTTCAATTATTGGCACTAAGCAGTATCAGACATTTGCCTGGAGGAACTCGGAAAAATCCACAAAAACCTTCAGCCAGGATAGTTGGCATCCTAGCTACAACCTCCCAAATACAAGGGAGAGTCAGTACACAGGTCACAAATACAAGTAACACAGCTGTGAAAGGCCACGCCATAGCTCAAGTGTTTAGTCGCTGGCTTCCCACCGCAGTGGCCGGGGTTTGATCCTGGGTCTGGTCAAGTGGGATTTGTGGTGGACAAAGTGGCGCTCAAGCAGGTTTTCTCTGAGTACTTCGGTTTCCCCTGCCAATTTTCATTCCACCAATTGTTCCACAATCATCCTCACCTATCATCTGGGGCTGGTACAATAGGCCAGAAGTGGCCGCAGTACAAGGGACTTAGTCCCACCCCACTAGCAATAAAAAAATAAAAAAATTAATGGCTGTAATAAGTTCTCTATGTGTATCACTAGGTAGCAGCACAGTCCAGCTTCATGACAGTCTAGGTAGCAGGTGTGCACGCACATGTTCAGAGGCTAGTTACAGTAATAAAAAAAGTAGACCATGTTTGAGGTGTACGCTACTGAAAAGCGTTTTGTTGTGCGTTTTCTGTGGGCAAAAGTATCCAACGCAAAGGATATTCATAAATAAATGTTTCCTGTTTACAGTGGGAAGTGTTTGTCAAGCAAATGCTTCACTGATGACAAAGAGGTTGCAAGGGAGGAGCAGAAATGGTTGAGACCACAGACAGAAGACTTCTGGGTTTCAAAACGCTGGTAAAGCAATGGAGCAAGTTTATCAAGATTGATGGAGGATAAGTCGAGAAATTAATGTTTTTTTCCCCGGTTCAAATATCACATGTTTACATTTGACATCCATCTGTAACCTATTTACTGACCCACCCTCATACAAGCCAGAATCACTACACCTCACATGCCAACCTGTTCAGTTATATAGCTGTTCTGTCAGAATGTTAATTAGTAAATAATTAATTACTTTCAGTCTCTGAAAAGGAAATTTAATATCTTACCCAACAACTAGTGTGGATGTGGGCAGATGGAGTCTGTCATCCTTTGTCTGACACATCTCAGCAGTGACCCTGACTCTGAAAGTAATTCCAGTGCCCTCAGTGTGTCTCTGCAATATGTCTGCAAGAGCTAGCTGGACATCCGAAGCATTGCAAGATGCAGGAACACACAAAGCCCAGTGGATAGCTGAGAAACGAGGAACACGGTGTCCTGGCTAAAACACATGCAGACCATGTCACAATCCCAGTACAGGGTAAATCCCCATCATCATGTGATATAACAAGAGTAAGAACATGGTCACTAAAACAAGCTGTTGGATCTTAAGCTCTCAGATCAGTGTCTATGAAGAGTGCTGTCTTCTGGAATGCAATGATGTGTGGCTTGGTAGAAGTTCAATGATGTTTCAAAGGAATGTACTGTTCTCAGCTCTGATTCCTACTAGTTACTTGCTTGGTTTACTCTGAAGATGAAGGCTCCACATTCCTCTGAATGGTTAGTTTCTGCTAGACTACATGTGTTACAACCCAGAAGCTTCCTGGACATTCACTTAAGAAGATGTAAGCCTTAGCTTCATGGCACTGATTTTATAAAATTGAGATGCACTTCTCTGATTAAACATAAGCTTTACAGTTATGAGCTTCAGTATATGTCATTGTTTATCTGCATTATCTGGCTTCCTTCAGAATATTTTACTTACAAACAAGTTTTTAATCATTTTTATGATCATATATCTCATATATCCATGTTCATGTATTCATGTTCTTGTAAATATTTACATATGGCTACTGTTATGACATTGCACAAATGTGATGCAGTATGTAATTATGCTTACTCATGTTGACTACTTCTATATCCGTGGTGTTTTGAAAAAACCATGTAAGGATTTATGGAATGCTGAATAAATGAAATGAAATGAAATATAATTTAATACATTTTTGTTCAAAGAGTAATTTTCAAGGAGCATATCCATTCTGTAAAAGAAAGACTTATGGATTCACCATTCATCACAAATTCAATTTAATGTAAACAGAAATTTATTTTCAATGGGTCTAGTAAACAGCAGTTAGAGTACTTCGGTTTCACCTGCCAATCTTCACTCCACCAATTGCTCCACAATCAACCACACCCATCATCTGGGGCTGGTACAATAGGCCACAAGTGGCCGCAGTACAAGGGACTTAGTCCCACCCCACTAGCAATAAAAAAACAGCAGTTGCTGTAGTGTAAAAATGGTAAGGATGCCCCTGTGATTAATTAATTAAGCACTGTGCCATGAAGACATATGGGGGAGTGGAGGTATAGCTCCAACTTTTTTGACCTCAGAACTAGATGGAGGTCAATGTCACACCCCTGCCACTTCCCCTTGGGGAAACATCTCCTAGTAAACATTGGACAGGAGATTGGGAGGACCCCAGAGTGGGGTTTAACGATGTGAAGAAGAGAAAAATCTTGCACTGTCAGGAATGAAACCCAGGCCATCCAGCTCATCACTATACTGACTGAGCTATCCTCACTCTGGCTACTATACTGCACAGATTCAAAACTGACATTTTTGGAAAACCTAATGAATAGTCCATAAAAAAGACAAGAGGTAAAATTTTCCCTGTGCTTAACTGGAATATAGGTATAGCTCCATTCATTCTTAACCTTGGATAGTAAGGGTTGTCTTCATACTGCAGCCGCATTTGGTCAGAGGAAACGCCCCTGTACCCATTTCAGCAGGAGGAAGGGTAGGCCTCAGAGGTTGTCAGGACGCTGTGGAGAAGACATGAATCTCTTGCAAATGGCGTCCAGCCCGTAGCCTGTGTTTCGCTAAAGAAATATGAATACAAGCGAAATTTCTTCATGGACTTGGATACCATCAGCAGAGAATTAATGAACCCACTCACGTCATCAAGTTCACTGCGAAGCATCGAGTGTGACTGCAGCAGCTGTTGAACCTGCCGCAGTACAGGATGGTCAGGATCCGACAGACTAAGGACTGACGTTGTGAGACAGTAGCGGCCCTTGATGACGCCACCCAGCCAGGGCGCCCTCACACTCAGACACTGGTCAATATCCCCGTACTGGTTAACGTTACCATTCAGCACTCCCGAGGGTAACTTCGCCGACGAATCATGCACTGTAGACAAACATATTCAGTGCCACCAACACACAAAAGTATTATTCCAAACTACTGATGTACTTTCGTGGTCGGAACCTTTCAGTCAAGTCTAGTGTCATTTGCTACTTTGATGGCTCTGTTAGGAGGTTGGGAAAAACTGCATAATGAGGAGCTTCATAACTTGTACTCTTCTCCAAGTATAATTAGAATGATCAAGTCAAGAAGGGTGACTGGGCATGAGATGTAGCACAAATAGGGGAAAAAGGGAATTCTTATAGGATATTGGTGGCAAATCCAGAAGGAAAGAGAACACTAGGGGGACCAAGAAGTAGGTGGGTGGATGTTAAAATGGACGTTAAAAAGATAGGGTGGGGTGGTATGGACTGATCTGGCTCAGGATAGGGACTGGTGGAGAGATCTTGTGAACACGGCAAAACTTTTGGTCCCATAAAATGTTAGGAAATTCTTGAGTAGCTGCAAAACTGGAGGCTTTTTGAGAAGGGCTCAGCTCCATTAAGTTAGTCACTTACTGAAACTGAGGTATTTTATGATCACCATAAACATTCAAGTTTTCTATGTGCTTTTCGAAGTTTCTTCATGTAAAAGTTTTACAGACATCCGGATAAGAGCCCAGTGGGTGGTTGTAGCTGTTAACGATTTTAGCTCGCATTCGAGAAGTGTTCGGTTCAAACCTCGGCCAGGGCATCGGCATTTCTAAATTAATTCGTGCTTTTCCTTCGTTTCTGCAGGAAACCGGCGTGATAAGACCTCCATTACGTCACGGCCACTTCATTTCAAATCCTTTGTAATTCATGGCTCATCCTATGGTTCAAGGCTCTATAGTCTCAAACCCAACCCACACACCGGTCATAATGCGGTGACGTCAACAAGACGCTAAGTTCTATTGTGACGTATTCATGAAAACATGTGAAACATGGCGGAAGTGTGTGGACCGAACAGGCGTTTTACGTTGAGAAACAATTGTTAAAATTACGTAATGAAGTTCATGACAGTCCCAGTTTTTCTTTCAATGGCATATCCATTTCTGTTATTATTATTCTATGTGTGTATGTACCTGCATTGCCCTTTCTCGCCACAAAATGGCGTAACCACTGGAAATGTACTTATTTTATTTTCCTCGCCTGTTAACCCTAACTTCAATTTTTCTTGGCATTTTTATTAATGTACTGCCACTACACAGATTGTCTTATTTTGTATTTTGTTTTTTAGTCATATTTGTATCTTTCAACATACTCGTGCTCACTTTGTAATTGGCCTCTGTGCTGTTAACTTTGCACGTAAATAAACACGAACTGAATTATTATTATTATTATTATTATTGGCACTGCAACTCTTTGAGGGTCTTGACCTGCTCTAAAAACTTTGTCCTGCCATCTGTCTCGTGTGCTTTGTTCTCCAATTAACTACACCCAAATTCCTCAAATCCTTCTCCACACCACCCATCTCATTCTTGGTATATTTTTCTTCATTTTCCCTTCTTACAAACTGTCCTGCCCATCTCAATCTATTGTTTTAATTCCTTTAATTATATCAACGTTATCGAACGCCTCTGTGGTCTAGTGGTCAGAGTTCCTGCCTACAGATCCAGAGGTCCCGGGTTTGATTCCCGGCGCTACCAGATTTTCTGAGAAATAGTGGGTCTGGAACGGGGTCCACTTAGCCTCGCGAGGATAACTGAAGAGGTATTTCAGGTAACAGCGGCTCCGGTATAGAAAACGGAGATTAACGGCCGTGGGGATCCGTTGTGCTGACCAAGTGACAACCTCTATCAACAAAATTTGGCACAAACTAAAGCTGACAAGCGATGGTCACTCGGTTGGTATAGTTCGCTTGCGAACTACAGGCGACGGAGTCTAAATAAACAATATAATTCTTCGTTGTAACGTCTTCGCCAGACCCCACCAGTTTGTATTGCTCCACAGATTCTCGTTAGGATCTTTCTCGCAAAACACGGAAGAAAGCGATGACGCCTTACCGTCCAGCGTGTCCTTGTATTTCTTGACCATCAGCATTTGCAGTATCGCGTTAGCTGATATTTCTCTCCGCTTTTCCGTACAAGATGGCTGAAGTACCTTGCGAGAGAAAGCTCAGAGCAGACAAAACAGATGACGTAAAAGGTCAAACAATGCAGAAGCCGTCGGAAACTACATCTTACCGTCACGTGTATGTAGTGACTATACACGGGGTTTAGATTGGTAATCGAATTTACTGAAAACTTACAGAACGTAACTACAAATAACTACGACGGTCTCACTAAGTTACACACTGCAGCCACAATATACTCGTACAATAAGTCTTCTCAGTTCGCTATGTCTTCACAAGTCGTTGCCTGGTGACGGATCCCAACAATGTCCCCTGTTTCCTTGCTCACGTTCTTACAGGCTGGCGACTGTCTCACAACTAATTCATTACTTCAACTGCCGACTCTCAACTATCTGTCTGTCACTAAATATCCTGCTTTGAACATCTCAACATGGACCGCACAGAAAACACCGTTCCTCTGTTGATGTTTCCAAACTTTACCGTGCAAACATGATCTTCCGATATTGTGGTCGCTGCCCAGCAATGGGGCTATATGAAACAATACATACACAAGAACGGCGAAGTGCAGTTCAGTATATCGGGCATGGAGGTATAGCTCCACGCATTCTTAAACTCTACACAACTGGGCAGATCGGCGTATTGGTAAAGCTGGCTGCGCCATAGCTGAAGCGGCTAGTCGCAGGGTTCGATCCCGGGTCTGGTCAAGTGGGATTCGTCGTGGACAAAGTGGCACTGGGGCAGGTTTTCTCCGAGTACTTCGGTTTCCCCTGCCAATCTTCATTCCACCAATTGCTTCACAATCACCCTCACCTATCATCTGGGGCTGGTACAATAGGCCAGAAGTGGCCGCAGTATAAGGGACTTAGTTCCACCCCACTAGGAATTAAATATATATATATATATATATATAAATTATTTAATCGAAAAGCTCTGCCATATGAGATATAACACTGTATAGATTTCCTTGCTGTTTTGTTCACGATAGCTTCTGGCCCTGGGGTCGACTCAGCAACAGAAATGAGTACCAGGAATCTTCCTGGGAGGTAAAGGGCGGCCGGCGCGTTAAGGCTGACAACCTTACCGCCATCTGTGAGCCGATCGTCAAGAAAATGTGGGACCCTCGACGTCTCACAACCCTATGGGCCTCCACGGCCTGTTACAGGGATAGCTTTAACTTTTTACTTTAATGTCTGAGGAGCCGATTAACTTCCCTGCTTCAGGCAAGATCTTGACATGAGAAACCTTACACTGGGCTGCCAATGTACTGTAGTTAAAACCTAAATATCAGCTTATACATTCGTACGTTTCATTGGCGTTTTCTGCAAAGAGAGAAAGATAATGACATGTTGAGAACACGCCTGTCCGTCTGTCTGTGACCCAGTATCACCGTCTAGGTTGCTGTGCAAATTCGATGCAGGAGAACTTCCACTGAACGTTGTCCGGCATTTTACGCATTCAGCCATACTGGCCTATAATAAAATCCACTTTATTCATGGCCAACAAGTGGATAAATTTGCAGCAAGAGAGCTCAGTAGTCTGCAAGTACCTACAAAATGTGTGTGATAAGAATTCGGTTACATAATCTTATCGGATTCCTGGAAGCTTTCACTCTGTCAATCTGGAACATTCTTGAGTAAGGTTCCCCAAGGGCCGCGCCATAGCTCAAGCGGTTAGTCGCAGGCTTCCCACCGCGGCAGCCCGGGTTCGATCAAGCGGGATTTGTGGTGGACAAAGTGGCGCTGGGGCAGGTTTTTCTCCGAGTATTTCGGTTTCCCCTGCCAATCTTCATTCCACCAATTGCTCCACAATCACCCTCACCTATCATCTGGGGCTGGTACAGTAGGCCAGAAGTGGCCGCAGTACAAGGGACTAGTCCCGCCCCACTAGCAATAAAAAAAGTTCCTCAAGCTTACTACAAATTGGACTCAAAGAGGCTAAGGGATTTATATCAGGACCCTCTGCCAGAAGAACGAAGGACCTGTTAAAATTAAAGAGAGATCAGTTAAGATGGGTGGTAGGATTACTTAAAGGACACTTCCACCTAAATGGACACCCTTTCAAACTGAGACTGGTAGATATCCCAACCTGTGAAAGGTGCCTACAAGAAGACGAATCAGCAACACACACCCTGTGTGACTGTGAGGCCATAGCTTACTTAAGATTTCGTCGCCTGGGTCAGTTCTTCATGGAACCAAGTGACTTCCATGACGCCCCCATAAATAAAGTCCTACATTTCATTCTAAGTGTAGGATTAATAAAGGCTTAATTCAAAGCGGGAGCACAATAGATCATCGAAGGTCGCAGTGCACGGGCCGAATTTTATGAAGCACCCTTACACACATACATACAAAGTTACTACAAAGGACGAATATATTTATTTATAAGAAATGTACTTCCCATAGCCATGCAGTATAACAATCCGAAAAACAAGAAAACTGTCCCCGTATTCAAGCACATGTGATTAGGGAATATGGGGGAATGGACGTAAATCTTTCTGGCATGTTTAACTTTGGGCTTGAAAATGAGTGACAGGCTTCACGCTCAAGCCGCTTTGCATCCTGGGAAAGATCTCCGGTAGAGATACAATGAGAAAAATCCCTGTCACTCTTGGGAAACGAACCTCATTTTTCACCATGCTAGCAGCAACTTATTGACTGAGCTATCTCGAATAATTTATCATCATACATCTTACGTGGAGGGGGCACGAGGTAGCGTAGTTGCTCGAGGCACTACACCACAAGCCAAAGGGACATGGGTTCGATCCCCGGTGACGTCAGTGAATTTCCCAATTGACCTAATCATTCCAAACGTACTAATGACCCTTGGGTCGACTAAGCCTCTAACAGAAATGAGTACCAGGAGTCTTCCTGTCGGTAAAGGGCGGCCGACTCGTAAGACTGACCTCATACTGGTCGCCTCTGTGGTCTAGTGGTCAGTGATCCTTGCTACAGATCCAGATGTCCTGGGTTCGATTCCGGCGCCACCAGATTTTCTGAGAAGTAGTGGATCTGAAACAGGGTCCACTCAGCCACGTGAGGATAACTGAGGAGTTATTTCAAGGAAATAACGGCTCCGGTCTATAAAACCGAGATTAATGGCCGTGGGGATCCGTTGCGCCGATCACGCGACACCCTCTATCCGCTAAAGTTGGTACTAACTTCGCCGACAGGCGGCAGCTGCTCGGTCGGTATAGTTCGCTTGCGGACCACAGGCCACGGACTTTAGTTTTAGACTTTAGATATTTTTAAGAAGTTTGTTCTTGTAAGGAAAATATTTTTTACGAGCGTATAAACTGTTTCCTCAAAAGAATAGTTCCAAATTCAGTAATGATAATGACGCGACACCCACAGCAATTTTCCGTTGACATTTCAACGAGGTTTCTGATAGTTGAAACATCAACACGAAATGAAACATTCATTGGAAAGGCAGATATGAAAAAGAATCAACAATGAAACTCGCTGAGTCATAAGTTTTGGCCAGAGAAGTCCTCTGTTTACTTGAAAAATTAACACAAAGCGTGTATGTCCCATACATTTCTCACTCTGCACACGTTAAATTTAGCCTTGCTGTCTCTTGTACTGCCTAATGAAGGCTAAAAATGAAGGGAGCGGAGCGTGTCCTTGGTGGGAACGCGTTCCAAGTCTCAGTTCGTTTAAGTACATCCTTCTACGGACCGCCTCTGTGGTCTAGCGGCTACACATCCAGAGGTTCCGGGTTCAATTCCCGGTGCTACCAGATTTTCTGAGAAGTAGTGGGTCTGGAACGGGGTCCACTCAGCCTCGTGAGGATAACCGAGTTATTTCAAGGAAACAGCGGCTCCGGTCTAAAAACCGGGATTAACGGCCGTGGATACTCGTTGCGCTAACCACGCGACACCCTCTATCCGCTAAAGTCAGCACTAACTTCACCGACAAGCGGCGGTCGCTCGGTCGGTATAGTTAGCTTGCGGACTACAGGCCACGGAGGTTTTTTTTAAGTTTATACCCTTCTACGAGGACAATTTTAACAACATGGAAAAGGTTCCTGTTGAGAATCTCACAGTCAATATATTCACCGTCTGTTTATAAAACCAAAATTCTCATTACCGTGTTCACGAGATCCTGAGCCAGACGAGTCCACTTAATCACACATAATTATACTCTACTCCCTTTTTAACCCTAAAGTGCCAATCGTCGAAAATTTCTATCCCTACTAAAATTGCTATATCTGGCTGCACCTGGCATTTTATCTGACTTACACTTCATACAGAGCATCCGTTAGTGAAAAGTATTCCATACTCTGGGGCGCTACACCTTGTTATCCTCTAGAAGTTCACTGAAGTTTCGAATAAACGTACTACATCCATCTTCAGGGATGAAAAATTAACTACACATGTAACCACCAAGAAGCTCAGAATAGTGTTGGTTTCTTATTGGTTGCAAGCTTGGTCTGGAGACGACAATTCGTTTGTCCGAAACGTCGGTGAACTCCTAATTACATATACAAAATGACAGTGCTCATCTAACTTACCGCTGTGAGAACCTATGTCATAATGTGTCCAATATTATTTTCGAATTTTATCATGAAAAATTTTAGTAGAACTGGGGCATATAAAATTGAACGAAAACCCGTTAATTCGTTCAAAAACTATTGTTGCATGAGGAGGAGACACCGAGAAGACATAGTTGGCAATGCTGATAGGCAACTGTTACCAGTTCTCTTTGCGAAACCGTAGGACAGAACTTGTCACGTGGAGCAGCTGAGGCACCTTTTCCATTTACTCATTAGAGCTGCGTTTCTTCAGCCTAAAAGCAGCTTCGAGTCAAGCACGTTCCACTTATTTCCGTCCCTCATCATGGGCGCCGGTGTGTCGGAGGCTAGACATCTGCCGCTGCTCCCCCACCCACAGAAATTTTGTAAATTACGACGGAAATATTCAAAATATTAAGACTATAAACTAAAATTGTTTTTAACTTGTCACTAAGGCATGGGGCGTCCTCAGGTTGCGGATGCAGGACACGGCCTCCAGATATTGAGGGTAGCTGCGAATATATTGAATAAGCAGTGGCGGAAAGCCGACGAGGGGTGGTCCTCCAGCTTGGGAGATGGGCTAACAAATCCTCACCGTAAAAAAATAATCATGTTACGAAAGTGAACACAAAGCCTCGGACCTGGATGGATCCTCTGGATAAGCAGCCTAGGCTAAAGAAAATAGACATGACATTCGGTGCCTGGAACGTCAGAAGTTTGTATAGGGCAGGTTCGCTCAGGGAAGTGGCAGAAGAAATCTCAAAATATAACCTACATTTAGCGGGAGTGCAGGAAGTCAGATGGGATGTAGGTGGCATCGCACCAGCAGGAGACTATACATTTTTCAATGGAAAGGGGAATTAAAAGCATGAATTGGGTACCAGTTTTTTCGTACATAAGAGAATCGTATCAGCAGTTAAGAGTGTAGCGTTCGGTAGTGACAGGATCATATATAATACTAAATCGTCGCTGGTGTGATATCATCGCTATGAATGTTCACGCCCCAACATAAGATAAAACTGATGATATGAAGGACAGGTCCTACTAAGAACTAGAACATTAACACGAATTGGGAGAAGAGAAAACATATAGGATATTGGTGGGAAGGCCAGAAAGAAAAAGCCCATTAGGGAGACCAAAACGTAAGTGGGTGATAATATTAAAATGGATCTTAGAGAGATAGGATGAGGTGGTATGGACTGGATTGATGTGGCTCAGGATAGGGACCAGTGGAGGGCTCTTGTGAACACGGTAATGAACCTTCGGGTTCCATAAATTTTTGGTAAATTCCTGAGTCGCTGGACAACTGGCAGCTTCTTAAGAAGGGCTCAGCTCTATAGAGTGAGTGTTTCAGTACAGCGACCCACAACTCTGGCGATAACAGTAAAAGTATCCCTAGACGGTTTAAACTTGTTTGTAAGCACGTATCCTCAGTATCCCCCCCCCCCACTAAAGAAACATCATGGTGCGCTAATGTTCCTCACTGATCATTAACCTTCGTTTACTACACGAAAAGAACTGCAGTTTACAGAACCCATTAACATACTTAAACTACTTGACAAAGTACAGAAGTGCAGGCATGCTATCAGGTTGCGTCCTAACGAGCTGGCCAAATGTTACAAATCTGTTCCTACATGACCGATTTCGCTGCAACACAAGATCTGTCGAGGTGTTTATCACTAGTCCTTATAAGATCTAGTTAGGAAAACTTGAAGGAAAGAGACCACTCGGAAAACCTAGGCGTAGATAACAGAATATTGTCACCTGATTATGGAGTGATTACAGACGGGTTTTGGATTGATGAATCGATTCATTGGGCTCTTTGATACAGCGCGTGGCTACATTTTACAGTTCACTATAGTCTTCACTAGCCGTTGCTTGGTAGTGGCTTCAACGGCGGGTTCTCGAACTGTCCCCGTGACTCACAGCGACTGAACCACAGTAGTCCTCTAACTCACTGACTCACTCACCGTCCTGATTATAACATCTCGGCACGGACGGCATATAAAACACCGTCCTTATTAAAGTGGAATTCTTGCCGTGGAAACATGCTTGTTTGCGGAGTCATTACTTTGTATTGTTGCTTATTCCTAGGTCGATGCCTAGCAAACCGGTCTACATGCCACAATATTAAAATGGATCATAAAGAAATGGTGTGGGCATTTCCAAGCAGTCAAGGGACGGTGGCGCCACTTAAAAATAAATTTACATACTGCTATCCCATGACTTTTGGCACTTGAGTGTATAGTAATAAGATACTCACTCTTGAGTGCCCAAAGCGCGAAGTTGTCGAGTTCCTGGAGGTAGTACTGACTCTCCCTGAGGCACTGCTCGTTTGTCACGCGCCTCGAAGAGGAAGGCGTGAACGGGGGTAGGATGGACACTATCCGACGGGCCAGATTCAACTCCGGGCTGTCGGTCACAGTGACACCTGCTGTAACAACATAAAACATACGTTTAATGTCGGGCGTTCCCTCGCCGCAAATGACATCGGTCTATGTCCCACCTTAAAGACATTTATCTTTTTGGAACGTGTTGAATATTTTAGGCAGTTCCTTATTATTTTAATTCGTTATATTCTGCAACTTGTTCAGTAGCTCAGACAAGGCTTCGAGTGACTGTATACTGCATAATGAATTAACAAGGATTTGGAAGGAAACCGTCGCGGTTTAATCGGAGTACTATCCCAGTAGTTGCATGGAGGACAGTCTGTGTCTCGGCCGAGATTCGAACCGAGCACCTCTATAATACAAAGTAAAAAAAGTAAAGTAAAGCTGTCCCTGTACCAGGCCGTGAAGGCCCATAGGGTTGTGAGACGTTGAGGGTCCCACATTATCTAGACCAGGGGTCTCCAAACTTTTTCGAACCGCGGGCCACATTAGGTAATTCAGCACTTTCAACGGGCCGGATAAAATGAGAAATTACTAACTCTAGGTATATGAGTTTTATTGAAAGCACAGAATTTCATAAACTAAATACAAAGTACGTGAGAATAAATTATTGTATATTAATGACAACAGACAGTAGCAGCAAATGCTCATATTTTCATCACAAATTATAATAAAACAATTAATGTGAATGATGGAACTCTTTTTGCATTCTTAAAATCTGATTAAATTGAGGTTCAAATTTTGAAACGCTAATCACAAGTAGCGACTTTAAATGTTCATCGGATAAATTTGCCCTGTATTTCGACCTGATGTACTTCGTCTGGAAAAAAATTTGTTCACACAGATATGTCGCCCCAAAAATGGAGATAAATTTACAAGCAAATTTCTTTAAATTTGGAAATTGCTGAGAGTTCAGAAATTTATAAAATTCGATCAAATTTCTTTCCCTGTATTTGTCTTTAATATATGATAATTTTCCTGAAGTTCAATAATTTCCATTTGAATTTGACCTGGGAATCTGCAGCATCACAGTCAAACAATCTAATTTAATTTAAACAATCTACTCGCAATTTCCTGAGCATTGGCATCCAAATCAGCAATTCGCTTCCGAAATTTTCCCTTCAAATCTGAAATGACTAAATTTTCAAACGAGGAAGGAAATTCAGCTTCACCCTTTTTATGCAACTCTGCACAGTATAGCATATGCACAAAGTTACAATTTTTCACTTCCCTTTCCAGAAGTNTGGTTTCTCTCGGTAAGAAATATATCAATTTCATTCCTGAGCTGAAAGAAGCGCGAAAGAACCTTTCCACAGCCAAGCCATCGAACTGCAGTATAATATGTCAGGTCAATAAGCTCGGAAACACATTTACCAGTACTCATTGAAAAATTAGTTCAATTGGCGCATTTCTGCACAATTCTTTCGCGGGCCGGATAAAATCACATCGCGGGCCGCATGTGGCCCGCGGGCCGTAGTTTGGAGACCCTTGATCTAGACAATCAGCTCAAAGATGGCGGTAAGGTTGTCAGCCTTACGCGCCGGCCGTGCTTTACTCCCCAGGAAAATTATTTAATTAATTCCTGGTACTCATTTCTATTAGAGGCTGAGTAAACCCCAGGGCCTAGTGCGGCTGGATGGATTAGGTCAACTAAAAAAATTCAATGACCTCATCGGGACTTGAACCCGTGACATAAACCAGAAACTTCACCGCTTCAGACAATTCGTTCGCTGTTTTAATTTGTTCTCCTGTCAGTTAATGCATAAGTTGGTTAATTTAAGACTATTTGAGAATTCAGCGGGTAGCCTCATCATCTATTACATAAACTTTCGTACTATTAACTCCCACTGCTTTCTCCCGTATTCCTTTCGAGTACTATTAACTCCCCCTGCTTTCTCCCGCATTCCTTTCGAGTCCTGCATGTTGTCGACCGAGACGTCGAGGACAAGTTTAACGGCATCTCCAATGAATAACACCTACAAATGGCCAAATATATGATGCTCCCATCATACAGTACAGTACAGTACAGTACACATCATTCGATGATATCGAAAGGAAATTGGGTGGATGAGTGAAAGCTTATACGACAAATTATGAGAGGTCCCGTTGAATTATCAACGGGTGTTATATCTTAATGACTGCGAACTCCCTGCTGGAGTTTCAATACCCGCTGCCGAACGGAAAAGCGCTTCAAGGAGCAGCTTCCGGTCACTGCGACTGTCAAGGTGAACAGGATAATTACTCACTTTCTACGCTGGAATGTACACATCGGCGTTGGCTGGAGGCAGCCACACGTACTCACGTCTAGTTCCTTATTACCGTCTTCACCGACTGACCTTCAGAATCCTGGATATAATATATTTTATTATTTTTAGTTTAAGAGCAGGAACAGTTCAGTCGGTATAGCGACTGACTACAGGCTGGACGTACGAGGGGTCGGAGTTCGAGTCCCAGTACAGACAAGATCTTCTTTCTCTCCACAGCGTCCAGGCCGGTTCTGGGGCCTACCCAGCCGATCAAATTGGTACCGAGTGGGATCTTTTTGCAGGAGCAGAGCGTGAACCTGACCACCCACCTCAAACTATTGTCAAGGTCAAGAATATGTGGATCTGTATATCCACTTCCGCATACGTCTTCATGGTCTAGTGCTTAATCTCTTTAACTTCTTTAATGTTTAATCTGTATTATTATGTGATATATTTCCTACTTTTCTTCAACAAAGTTTTCTTTTGACCTATAGAAGGGGCACTGGTTTGTCCTCCCTTCCGGCGGGCATGGTTACCGTTAACACATTAGATTCGAAAATTATGGCACCCCGTCAGCGTAGCAAAGATTTCATAGCTCCGCTTCTTTCTTGTCTGTGTGTGTGTGTGTATGAACAGCATTTTCAAATTTTTTTTTAATTTTTAAAGTTTACAAATTTCAAATTTTTATCAATTAATATTTATGAAGATTTTACAAATGTTATATAACAGTCCGAAAGCTATAACCAATTCAATTTCAATATATAACTTTTCCAGACTGTCTCAAGCCATTTCCCAACAAATCAATCCCCACTCCCAAGGGGGGGAGTAGCCCACACTTCGGAAAAACCAACGTCGTAATAACTTCTTCCGAAGTTTATTGTTTACATCCTGTTGTGTACCATTACGGGGACAAACATGGCCGTCAACACTACAGTCTATGTGTAAATAAAATATTAATATGCTAATATTTGTGTTTAATATATATACGAGTAAATTTTTATCATTCATCTTCAAACAAGTGGGTTATATGAATGTATACTGTTTAGCATGGATACCAACTGAAAATGATCACACAGATAGGAACATGTAGTTGGTATGACTTCTTGGACAGGAGATCAGCCCGTCGTAAGGCAGTATTCCTATTACTTCGTAAAATTTCAACTGTGTTTCTTCTCTTGGTCTAGTGTTTGCGTGTTTCCGGGTTGCTGTGAGGGCAGATGTACACACTTTCGCATGTACAACTGACTACAGACGGGGTATGAATTAGTCAACCGATTTATTGATCATTTACAGGTCGTAACTACAAATAACTATAACAGTATTGCTATTTCCACACTTTACGGTTCACCAAGCCACATAGTCTGGTGATCTCAGTCTGTTATTAGACGTTTCCTGGTAACGGGCTATTCCTCTACCTCTGGGCTCAAGTCCTTTCTTCAGACTCCTCCCATACAGAACTGATTAAGCTCTAAACCTCATCTCACTTATAACCTATCTGCATGGACCACGTAGGAAGCAGATTTTTAATTGTTGTAGTTCAACTCTCGCATTATTAAGAACCTGCTGCTTGGCAACGGGCACTGATCCGTTTGTACTGCGGAAATATGTGCCGTTGCCCAAAACGTACCTGCTATATCCGCCCATTTAGCGGTCGTTGTATAGCAACGGCTCTATACGCTACAACACATTGTTAACATGGAGGAGCAGTAAGTGGCCTTCACTAACCGAGGGAAGTACATTCATCTCTTAAGGCAGTTACGCAACGCACCCGCGCGCTCTCTGTTTGCGCAATGCCTGAACTAATATGTCTGTGGTGCTGCATCATCAGTGAAAGTTCAAAGAACTGGATTGCCTTGGCGAGGCCCACTCACGTGATATGTTTAAGTTGAATTAGTAGCGACGCTGTCAGCATCGAGAAAATGTAGAGTCATATGGTACGATAATTAATGTGGAGATGAAAATGATAATTGGTAGGGGAAACCCCTCCACCCACCAGTTGCGGTGCTCTGTTATCTCGATTCTTAACTGCGGGGCATTATTTTGGGGCTGAAGGGCCTATTCCCTACAAGGTCAACGAATTCTTTTGAACGTCGTCCAGAACGGCTCTGGGACCCACCCAGCCTCCTAGAATCATCCTCTTCGCAAAGTGGCCGGAGCTTAAAGCTGACCACTCACCTCTAGAGTCCGAGGCCAAGATAGAGTAGCTATAACGTTTCTGACTCGTATTCTGGAGTGCTTGGTTCGAATCTCGACAGGAACACCGGTTATTCTGAATGTTCTTGTGGTTTTCCTCAGTCCATCCAGGCAAATGACGTGATTTTACCTCGATTAGGTTACAACGACTTTCTTCCAAATCCTTTGAATTTCATCTATAACATTATGATACGAAATATACCACAGATACTGACCTCCACTTCCCCACACGCCTCAATGCTGTCGTAATTAAGTAGAGAAATAACTTACCTCTTGTGAACCTGGGCGTGCCGTTACAGATCATATCACAGGTTTCCAACTGTCTTAAACAATACCAACATGGCGGCCCGCAGAAATAATCTATAGGTAATGCAGCATCTTCGAAGTCTACATGGGAGCACACCTTTGGGGGGCATGCAACTTTTATTTTTATTTCTTCGGGTGGGATGAGACTGAGTCCACGGAATGAGAATTGGGAGGGGAAACCGAAGTAGTCGGAGGAAACTTGGCCCAGTGCCCACTTATGTCACCACAAATCCAACATAAATTGACCTGGGATCGAACCCGAGCCGCAGGGATGGGAAGAAAGGCGACTAACCATCGCA